GTCGTGTAAATCTTAACTCCTAGTTTACGTCAAAATTATAACAGAGGTATATTGTGACTTGATTGTGAACTCTTAATATTACACGAAGGACATTATCGATAATGTATAATAATAAACGCGTTATATGTATGCTCTTAACCAGCACAATGTACGAATTGTTCATTAATTATAATATTCATTCTGAAAGCCGATTAACGAAAATTGAGTTCATGATTGGATTATTCATACGCGTGATTCATGTTTTTTATATGCTTATCAATATTTGGTAATTTCGAGAAACTTAAAAATAAAATGCCGTTAACTTTTTAATGGAACCTAAACTTAGTATTCCCATGTATCTGAACTAAACAAATAGTTTTTATGACAAAATGTAAAGAAGTGGTTTTACATAAATGTTGAAATTGATCAAATACGTATATAAAGAATGAAAAAGTTTCAGGTTAACCTTGAGACATCCACAGATTAAAAGTTATATGCATCGACCACGGTTTATTAAAATGATTAAAGAAAACGGGCGTTTAACCTTGATGGCATTTTTTGTCGGGGTAATTTGTTATACAAGAAGTCAATCATTAGCTCGCCCGGCTCGCCGCCAACGTGGCCCCCGAGCTAGATATCAACTGAAATAACTTTTAAGTCATCCTTTTTACTAACGAGCGTAACTACACCTTCACTTCGCCGATCTCCGGTTTAATTCACTTTCAAAGTACCGACTGGCTCTACATCGTGTTGTTTTCATTTACCTTCGGACGCAATGTCAAAAATATAAAGTCTTCTTTTAATGAAAACAAATAATTAATTTTATGACAAGAAAATGAAAATTGTTTACAAAGGCTGTTTGCTGTTCTGTGATTGATTTAGTTTCTCGGCCTAAATATTTTATTAACTATAACCGATAGCAAACTAATTTAATGTTAAAACTAATTACTTACAAACCAAATTTTTAAAATTCGAAACATTTTGCCGATAATTTTTTTAATTAAATTACATAATTTACGAAGTTAAAGATAGGTTGTACTACTTATTACATATACGTCTTTTACAATTTTTATAGTTAAACAAACTAAAAACTCTTAGAAAAAAAATCAAACACAGCATAAAAAAAGATCCAACGGCATTTCTTCGTAAAATAATATTGTGTAATGTATTCAATACGTGTCAGAATAGACAGGCAGTGACTAATAGCAAGTTAGTACATAACGAATAGGGTAAATAAAGCTGCGTCGCTCGGGTTTACTTAGACGTCTCGGCAATTGCCGAGAGCTTACACTTCAACTTACCTAACTTCTCGCACTATATTATGCCTTTCAAGAGTTTAGCGCCTTTGAAGAAAATACTACTTTAATGTTTAGGTTTATAATAATGCAAGTACGATTAAAGAAATTTTAATGAGTTCATATCTCATGATTAATGTATTAGAACTCCGCTTATATCTTTGTTAAATGAAATTAAGATCCTCAAATCCCCGTTTTAATGCTGTTTTAGGATCGTGATACCATCATTATTTTGACATTATATAAAACATAACTCCAACTTGAACTTTTATATAATAATTACTACAAGATTTATCTTTATACATACATCTTACTATTTCTCAAACTAAAACAGTTCTTATTACTGAAAGAAAATAGCTCAATTTTCTTACTCTACCTGAGATAACTAAAGATAATTAGATTAAGGTCATTACTTTCGTCTTTAGTACGTTTCCGAAGATAAGAGTTGAAAGTCAGTCTATCGAGCAGAAAATTATTCGAATATCTATAGACAGTTCTCACGCAGAGATAATGGGTAAACGGACGAGATGGGGAGGGTTGGATTATAACGCGGGCGGTGGGCCACGGACGGCGGGTTATCCTCCACTAACTGAATTAATCGCCCGCGAATTCCCAGCTCCGTGATATGTCGCCGGCCGTATTAATCCTTATTACATTTAACAGATTCAAAATTACTTTTACAAGTGAAGTAAATATTTAATAAAAGCTTTTATTTTACTATAACAACGACAGTCTTTATAAAACTACACTATCAATACACATATTTGATTATATAAATTTTATTCGCCAATTATCAAATCACTAAAAAAAACTTTGTTTGCTTTAGCTATCTTTAGTGTATCCTGTATTTCTACTTACTTACACCACCTTATTAACGCTATTTACCAAACCATATTATTTATTAGACGATGAAATATTCAAATACAACCTTCTATATCCTTTCCATTATTTATTCTTTTATAACAATTGAGAAATAGCAAATATCTGAGAGTAAATGAGATATTTGTCTAAGCATTACAATTATCACAGTTTTCACAGTGCTATCTGTTAGAATGTAAAATGTTGAAGTTGGGCTCAGAGGTATACTCTTTAATCTCGCTACCAATGTACGTTATCTTGTGCGTCATTGTCATTGTAAAAAATAATACGGTATAAAATCGACTTATGGTACTGCATTGAAAATGTGCATCATGTCGCATATGTGAACAAGAATAACTAGTTTACATAAAACATTAAAAAACGCTAGAAATGTTTGAACACTCTCCTTCCGATTTACTATTGCGAAATAATGTAGGTATAAAATAATCCGTTAGGCCAAACTGTTGCCTTCTGTTATATATTGATTGGGTCAATGACATTTAACATACTTAATAGGTATATGAACTACATATTATTTTTTGAATCTCTTTCGTTTACTTTCATGCTTTAATAACTTAAATACTATCTATTGGATAACAGATAATACAATAACACCCTCAATAACATGTTTACCTATCTTTTCGGGTACAAACACAACAATACATTCAATCAGGACAAAGTATACATTTATACATCTGCAAATAATACAATCAGTTTCGTGTACTCATGAACATGAATACGCACTTCCCAACAGTCATTGAGGATTTACTAATACGGGCATAAAATGATTACGAAAAAAATACAGAAAATACCTTTCCATTTACTTCCTCTTCCAATCACTATATTACTGGAGTAGTAAGCCATAAATTCAATTATCATTCGTAAACAGGAAACTCATTCGCAAAATTATTTCAGGCAGTGTTAGTACGAGTGGCTACCGACTCTTTGTGGAAGGACGGAGCGACAGAACAAGATAAGAAAATCGCAAAGCAGCACGCGAATATAATCATTATTGCGATACTGATAATGACTAGTTTAGGTTCGGGACTCACTACAATTTTAGGCCCAGTTCTATTGTCACAGGATTTCAAAATAAGAGACAGTGGTAAGTACATTGTTTTTCAAATTATATTATTATTATAAACTCATTTTATACCATTTTAAATATTGTTTTGATTAATCGTGTC